TTGGCTTGTTTTGGGCATTTCCAGCTGTTGATAGTTTCCTTTTCTTAGCACTACCAACACTTAGATTTCTTGCTAGAGTTGCACCCTTTTCCAACTCTCAATATGTTGCAGTGTCATCTATCCCCCTTGCTATGTATTCACTAGCAGATAATGCCAATGAAGGATCATTTAACTCCTCACTTGGAACAATCTCTGACACTTCAAACTGTGCAAAATAATAATAAAAATATTAATATAATTCAGATTTACAACATATTCTCATAAAAAGAGAATTCTATAGAATACTAACCTCTGGATTTTTAAATATGGCTTCCTAAATAAATTGTCCTGAAATCTTTGCATAACTCTCCCACCTTAAGCAACGTGGAATCCAATCCTCTCTTCCTTTTACAATTTCACAATGCCCTGATTCTCTCAAGGAAGGAAATTTCTCAAATGCCCATACTTGTAAGGCAAAGACAAACCCTCCAAACGTCACTCTTCCCCTTCCACGAGCTTTAAGGGATTGTGTACATCTCCCAGCATGTGTTAACAACTCTTCCCATATGTCTTCACCCCATGGGTATTTATTGAATACATCCAAATCATTCACTAGGTTAATGTATCCAATAGGAAAAGTAACACATGACTGGTGCCCAAACATAACATTGCCCAACACATGCAGCAATCCCTCACAACACGACCATGCATCTACTGGAAAAACTCATTTGAACAACAATGATAAGTCACAATGCAATCCCTCACAACATGAACATAAATCTACTGGAAAAACGCAGTTCATCACAATGCAATCCCTCACAAAATGACCATGCATCTACTGGAAAAACGTAGTTCCTCACAATGCAATCTCTCACAACATGACCATCCAACTACTGGAAAAATGCAATTGAACAACAATGATAAGTGACAATGCAATCTCTCACAACATGACCATGCATCTACTGGAAAAACGCAGTTCATCATAATGCAATCTCTCACAACATGACCATGCATCTACTGGAAAAACGCAATTGAACAACAAAACTAGGTCACAATGTAATCCCCCATAACGTGAACCATAGGTCTACTAGAAAAACGCAATTGAACAACAATGATAAGTCACAATTGAATCTCTCACAACATGACCATGCATATACTGGAAAAACGCAATTGAACAACGAAACTATGTCACATTACAATCCCTCACAACATGAATCGTAGGTCTACTGGAAAAATGCAAGTGAGCAACGAAAGTAAGTCACAATGCGATCTCACAATGCAATTGAACAACAACGAAACCTCAGATTCGGAAACTATGATTCATCACCTTCTGTCGCTTCGCCATTTGATTTGTTGCAGGTCGCTTATCTTCATCAGCAATTTCATCTGATCGAGTGTCTTCTTCGTCCGTCATCTTCTCCAATTAAGGCCTCGTTCCGTTCAACTTATTTTTTCTTATTCTTATTAAAATCAGATCAGATCAGACCAGATCAGATGGAATCAGATCAGATTAAATTTGATCTGATCAAATCAGATCAGATCGAATCAGATCAGATCAGATCAGATCCAATCAGATTAGATCAGATTAGATTAGATCCAATCAGATCAGATCAGATTAGATCATATTTGATCCAAGCATATTAGATCAGATCCAATCAGGTTAGACCATATCAGATCTCATCAAGAACTATTATTATTATTATTATTATTATTATTATTATTATTATTATTATTATTATCATCATCATCATCATCATCATCATCATTCTTAAAAATGAAAAAGAATAAACTTTAGAAACAAGTTAAATAGAAAACTGAGAAAGTAATCCTTGATTATTAGACGTCGGAAAAATTATTTTTAAAATACATTGACAATTTCAATCCAATTCTACTTTTAAAATACATTTTTATTGCTACTTGTAATTTGAGTTTTTAAAGTTTTTATCTTTTATAAGGATGAGATATTTTAATAAAAATAATATCTCTTCTATATATTGATTATCTAAATTTAATATTCTTTTTAATGTATATATAAATTAAATATATATTCTAATGTATATATGAATTAATTATTAAAATATTAAATTAATATTCTAATTTCAAAAAAATTAATCATAAAATAAAAAATATTATTACATTATAATATGAATGATTATTCTAATATATGAATTAACTAATTTTATTTTATTAAAAAATAATCATAAAATAAAAAATATTGATTATATTATAATATGAATTATCATTACAATTTTCAAAGGTTATTATAAAGTCAAATCAAATTATTGATTTGAATTTTAAATCAAATCATAATTAATCAGATCGGACTAGATCAGATCAGATCCAATCAGATCAGATCAGACTAGATCAGATCAGATCCAATCAGATCAGATCAGACTAGATCAGATCAGATCCAATCAGATCAGATCAGATCTAATCAGATCAGATCCAATTAGATCAGATCAGATCAGATCCAATCAGATTAGAACTTATCAAAATCAGATCAGATCAGAAAAAATAAGTTGAATTAAACGGAGCCTAAGTCACAATGCGAAGTAGATGAATGGGGAAGTAGAGGAATCAGGAAGGAGATAAATTGGGAAGCAAGCAAATTTATTTGGTTTTTCTCAGCGCTCTAATTGAAGAAGAAGCTAATTATAATTTTACGGGTAATTGGAATGGTTTTGACAGGTACTTGCTAATGGCTACATGTTATGATGGCTAACGGCGACTCCTATTGGTGGGATTTAATCTTCCCACTCCTATTTTAGGCTTTTATCATTGTTTTACTCCTATATATGGCTCCTTAACCCGTCTTTCAAGTCATGTTAGCATTACATGGTTATTCATTCAACTTTAAAAATTTTACGAATAGTCTTTCAAGTCACATTAGTGTTGCGTAGTTGGTCCTTTCAATAAATTTGTTGTTACTCCATGCATTTTCTTTCATTTTGTATTATAAATACATGTGATGAACGTTCTTTTTTTCAGACATTTTAGTAATACTTTTTGTAGATTTATTTTAATTGAAATATTGGTAAAAAATTAAATCTAATTGACTATAAAAAGTCAAAATTTAATAAAAACTTTAGGGCGGAGTGATATTTTTTAAATAAAATGAAACAAATAAAATTAAAAGTAACTTATTTTATGTAAAAAAATTGGACTAATTTAAGTAAGAACAACTATTATTATTAAAACTAGACCTATATTAAATATACTTCAATTATATGAAGAGTAAAAAATTACTCATGTGTATAAGTGTATTTAAAATTGAAAAAATATTAAAAAAATGCATTGGTTCGTGACAAAATTAATGGAAAGACCAGTCATGCAACACTAATATGACTTGAAGGAGTATTTGTAGAATTTTTAAAGTTGAAAGACCAACCATGAACTGTTAACATGACCTTAAGGGATTTTCATGAAATTTTCAATGTTGAATGACTAACCGTGCATGATGTAATAACTTGAAAGACCAACGGTGAAATTAAGCCTTGAAAAAAATGACGTCTAAAATGATACCAATTACATATACACCAATTGCTTGCATCAATTTTTTTGGGGCACCTACGGGCTGAAGTGGGGTTAGTAGGGGTCGGATTCAAGTGGGAGGTTTAGGGAGAGGTTAGAAGATAGAAACTCTCATTTTTATCAAAGGGGATATATGACATGTTTGAGTCAGATGACGTTGGAGCTCACCACTGACCACTGCAAAGCTCACCACTGATCATTGCAAAACTCACCACTGGCCACTGCAAAGCTCACCATGATTTTTCAACACTTTAATTTTTTTCAAAATCTCATGGTTAAATGCTTACAAAGCCCAACAACAAAGCTTACTGACTCTCATTGCAAAGCTCACCCAATATGTACACAAAGCTCACCATACTTTTAATTTTAAAATGACTTCGAAAAAACCAAAAGGCGGTGGTGCTTACTGCCAACCGCTGCAGACTACCACCGTGGATCGGTTTTTTGACTGGTAGTACTATTTTTTAGCTTTTTTTTAAAACAAAGTTGTGAGCTTTACATTGTTCCTTGGTGAGCTTTCCATTGAGAGTTGGTGAGCTTTGCATTGACATTTGGTGAGCTTTACACTTTGACCACCCATGACCACTGGCCACCACCGATGACCCCCATTGTTGATGTGGACTGGTGGTTGAGCGGTGGTTGATTGGTGGTTGTCTGGTAGTGCTATTTTTTTAACTTTTTTTTATAAAAAAAGTGGTGAGCTTTGCATTTTTCCTTGGTGAGCTTTCCATTCGCAGTTGGTGAGCTTTGCATTGCAGTGCGGTGAGCTTTGCAGGTCAGTGTTGTGTGTGTTGTGTCATCTTACCATAAGGTGTCATCTCACCGGAGTCAATCCTATATATATATATATACTATATATATATATATATATATATATATATATATATATATATATATATATATATATATATATATTGGTTCAGGTGAGAATGCAATCTAATGAAAGAAATAAGAATGAATCTGGTGCATTAGATTGGGAGATCTAAGGGTTAGGTGCATCAAAATTAGGTGCACCAAGATGGTTTGAAAATGCATCATGTCGAAATGCACCATAATCCTTTGAAAATGCACTATCTCAAAATTTGAGTGCAGAATGCAATCTGAGCCGCATGATGCATCAGATCCAAAGGCCAGATTTTATTCTTATTTCTTTCACCAAGGTGCATTCTCACTTGAACCAGCCCCTATATATATATATATATATATATATATATATATATATATATATATATATATATATATATATATATATATATATATATATATATATATATATATATATATATATATATATATATGTATATATATATATATATATATGTATATATATATATATATCTGTGTGTGTTTGTGTATCTAATCATATTGTCACACAACATATACAACGCAACTTTACTCCACTTCAATATTTTACGCTTTTCGTACGTTCTATGTGTGTGACCCTATTCTAGGTACCTATAAAGTTAGTAATAGTATTTATTAGATACTATAAGTGATAAAATGTATCTAGCAATATATTATCACCCCCAAGTTATAGATATAAAGCTCTTGGAACAATTCTTCAACCACATATCTCATTTGCATAACTCTCTCCCATTATCACTAATATCTTAATTTAACACAAGGTATGGGTGTGTCTGTAACACCCTACTCTGTCCAGATCTGCAGCCCCTTTCGGACTAAAGTATTAACTTGGTAATCGTAAAATTTAAAACATTTTGAACATCTTCATTTATCATAACTAAAATTCAATACATAATTGTAGAAGTACGGAGTGTTTAATAATGCGGAAGCGGATTCAAAATATGTCTCATGATAATCACAATTAATTATTTAAACTCACACATCCATCACGGCCGTCTCGCCCCAGCTGTCTCTATGAATTCATCACTCTATTCTTTTTGTTTACTTGCGTGTAGCAAATAAAACACACTACACGCTTAGCGGTAAAACTGAGTAAGCATATTTAATGCGTCGAGTATCCATATAAACTGAATCTCAATTCATAATCAATAATTTGATATCATGCACATAATATACAATTCAAGCATTTATCATTCATGATATGCACAATATTTTAATTCAAGATATTTCATGACATATACAATATTCGATATTCAGTATTTCAATAGTGCTCTTATATTATTCTTAATCTAAGGCCAAATCATTTTTATAGCAAACTTTTAGTTATTCCTAGTCTAAGGCAATATTTTTAACGGGCTCTTAAACTATAAATAGTTTAAAGCAGAACACAGGAATCGCTAATCTACCCTATGAGTTTTGTGGATTACGTACCAACCGAATAGTAAACTATTGGGTGGGTGATATCCAGTTTGGATCTCGCACGTACATTTTCACCCTAAATTTCTCAATTGGTCATGTAGCTATATCTTAAAGTTTTTCTAGATATCCTTAATAGTCATCATCAATTTCCAAATGGGTATATCCTAGAGTTCTTCTAGATATCCTTAACAATACACATTATTTTCATGGTCATCAATATATTCCTTTTTAGTCATGATTTAATCATTCATAATCATTACTTTAATTAGAGTATTCATCATCAATAAATAATATTCATCATAACCGTAAATTGATAATCCTTTATATATAATATTTGGGAGTTAAACTCCTAGAATCTTGACATTTGTCATGCTGAGTGGACAAGATTTTAAACAGGTCATTTGCCATGTCATCAAGTCAATGTACCTGTTGGTATTTCTTAACCAAATCGGATGACCCGTATATTGGATGGCTACGGTCTGGATTCCAGAATACTCACTCCTCCGTTCATCAGCCTCTGCGATGAACTCACCCGTTCGATTCTAGAGATTCGCAGACAAATATACGCGATTTTTCAAGCAAATTCTTCGATATAGAGATGAGCCCAGATACGGTAAGTTTCCTTCCCAGATGAATTTGAGATGAGCAAAAATTCAGTGAAATAATTTTAAACTTTCCCTTTTCTTAAAAAATCTTAAATCTTCTTCGGATGATTGGCCTTCTTTCCAATCTCTGCGAAATCTGTTCATCATTCGAATTTTCCGTTTCAAATCTATGAATTTTCAACCCTTTTTCTTGCAAGTTTCCTTCTTGCGGTTTTCTACCCTTATTGCTGAAATTTTCTACCCTTATAAATCAAATTTTAAGTAAGCCATTTCATCAATCTATTGTTTCATTGTAAGGCGCGTTCGTACCTAAAATCTCTGATTAATTGACATGTCTTCCAAACCAATTCACCCTTTGTTGAAGATCAATCCATCAAGTGAATGCTCGAGAGTTTTGGTTCGTGTGATTCGTTTGTACACGATGCCAGTGTATAATGATGAGAAGATGACGAATTCGATTGAGATGATATTCATGGACGAACATGTAAGAATTATATTCTTATACGAATTTTGCGTACATTATATGAATAGATAATATGTTTCTTTCAAGTTTTTTAAAACCACAGAATTGTGCTATATACTGAGCCCCTATACTCTGCTATCTATTTTGAGATTTATGTTCTCTGATATTTTTTATGGCGTTGAGTTTAGTTTCTTAAAGTCCCTGGGTATTGGAAAAACTAATCGTGCTATATTCTGTTTAGTTATTATATTGCCTGTTCATGTTGAAGCATCTCCAGTGCTGAAAAACATCATACAAAATAACTTTTTATATTGATATAGTGAATGATAAGCACTGCATTTAGACTCAGAGTGAATTCTTCTTATTTATATTATTTGTTCTCTCTGTTTTAATATTTGTATCCTATGCTGCTCAGTGCATATTTTGTCCCCCCATACTCTGCTGCATATTTTCAGATTTATATTCTCTTATATTTTTTTATGGCGTTGAGTTTAGATTCTTAAAGTCTGATTAAATTTCTCCATTCCCTGGGTATTGGACGGTTCTCCAGTGCTTAAAAAATCAGACAAAACAACTTTTTATATTGCCAAAAAAGTCTGTTGAGTTTATATTCTTGGTTATTATAGTGTCTATTCTTGTTGATGCTTCTTAAGTGCTTAAAAAAATCAGACAAAACAACTTTTTATATTGCCTAAAAACTTTTCAAAGTCTCTACAAATTTGTTTTTGTAGTTTCAAATCACATTTGAATAGGCCAGATAGTGTTAATACCTGTTGAAATTTCTTTAGTCCCTAAGTATTGCAGTCTCTCATGTCCCTATGAGTATTAAAGTTTCCTTGACATTTTGCAGGAAACTACTATCCATGCCACTGTAAGCTTTTGAGAATAAAATAAAGGAAGGATCAGTATATGTCTTTGCTTATTTTGGCGTTGGCAATAGCAGTGGATATTATCGCACTTCAAGACATGAGTTTTGCCTAAATTTTCAGCCAAGGACCACCGTCACAGAAACCAGTTGTGACAAAATACCAGTTTATGGAATTAAGTTGGTTGCATTCCATGATATCTTGCATGCAGATTCGAACTATCCGTATTTAGTTGGTAATGCTCCTTACTTGAGTCTTAAAAGTTTTTTTTAATTTGAATTACATACCCGTTAAAGAGGTGGATTAGATGGAATATGTTTCTCTTCGTTCTTCTCAATATCATCATTACATTACAGACACTATGGGAATTCTTTCGGCTGTTGGGAAGGAAAGGGAGATAGTGAGGGAGTCAAAAAGAACAAATATGATTGTGATTACGTTGGAGGCCGAAGGGTATAATGTTGTTATTTTTAGTTTTGTAAATAGTGGTTGTTTTTTAATGAACTAACATGTAATGCTAACTTTTGAACTTTGGTATACCAGACAAAGGTTGGATGTTACTTTATTTGGTGAGTATGTTGACGTGCTTAAAAGCTTCTTTCGACACGCGCCATTAGAACATGCGGTGATAGTCATTCAGTATGCTAAGGTCAAGATGTTTCAAGGTATTAATATCTTGAATACTATTGTGTTCTTTTATTTCCTTTTAAAATGTTGTTAATCGATTTTATTTCTTTACATGTCATTATATATTACACTACTATTTTCTTATATTCAACTTGCATGCTTTTAGGAAATTATATTCTACAAAATGTAATGTATGGTACACGTCTTCTGTTGAATCCGGAAATAAACGTCGTTATTGCTTTCAGACAGAGGTTAGTTCATCTCATATTTAATCGGTTTTACTGGCTGATTTTGGTTACAAGCAAGAGTAGATTTGACGCATGCAAACTAATAGAATAGTTACCATCATGCAGGACTCTTGGCGGTTCTTCTCAACCTCAGCCTGTTAGGTTATCATGTGATAACATTATGAGTTCAGACCAAAATGACTTCCTCGATACGAGCAAAACAAGGGTGATTGCTAACCTGAAGGAGTGTAATGAGGTATATTTGATATTTTTAAGCATTCAATCCATACTTTTGAGACTTTTAATTATTGGTTTGGTTTTTGGATTCAATATATTAACATATGCACTATTAATTGAGAAATAACATGAGACCTAATATATGAATTTCTCTAAAAAGGATGGATCGTATGTGGTGTACGGGACTATCGTTGCGGTAAACAATGAGAGCGATTGGTGGTATTTAGCATGTAAGTGTAACAGAGCTGCTAAACCTGATGGTGCAATGTACTACTGTGTGCACTGCTCAAGTCGTGTTTTCAAGGTCACCCCGAGGTATAACTCTTTTTTTCATCAATGATTTTCTTTTAGTTGTTAAATATGTGCATGTAAGGATATTACTTAAAAACTATTTGAATTTTTTAAACTATTCTCTGCTTCAGATATCTTATCAAGCTGTCTGTTAAAGATGATTCTGGAACAACCACATTTCTTTTATTTGACCGTGAGGCGTCCAATATTTTGAATATATCCTGTGCAGAATTGATGGAAAAATGTGATTTGGTATGTACTCTTTCTTCAGAACGATTGGTTTATTAATTTTTAATAGATCATACACAGTTTTAGTTTGATTGTTTTTTCACATACTAACAAAATGTTGCTTTTATGTATGAAAGTAGCATGTTCTTACTATAGGCATTTTACTGATAACACACATGAAATTAATATCTAACAATTTTGACCATAATGTATAAAGCACACACGGATTGTCCACATGAAAAAAGTTTATATTTTTTAAAGTAAATGCTACTGAAATTCCTACTAAAAATGGTGCTTAAATTTATGAAATAAATGTAAAACATTCATAATTTTTATGATAGTTAAAAACAAATGTATAATACTTCAATTTACTTTATTTTGAAGACAATGTTTGTAAACTAATGTAACGGATAAATTTCTCACAGGATGGAAGTTTTGAAAATCCAAAAGAGTTTGATGACCTCTTGCTTGGGAAGACGTATATTTTCAAAGTTGAGGTAAGGGTCATGAACCGCGGCCAACATGAACACTCTTTTAGAGTGTCAAAAATATGTCACGATGATACCATCAAGAAAAAATACCTGGAATCTATTCATGCAAAAAATTCAAAAGCTACAGTGAATAGCGCTATACCAGTGTACTCCCTTGAGGAGGATTTTTTAAACAGAACGCTTGCTAAAACAATAGAGTCTTTGAAGGATTGCACGGAGGTTAGTTATATCAATTTAATACACACTTCTTGAAGACATTTCCAAGATATTGTATTTAATAATTTACCTATTTTGGCACTAGGATGGAGAGTATGCAGTCTATGGTCCCATCAAAGGTGTGGATGGTGGAGCTGATTGGTTCATGCCAACGTGTAGGTGTGGATCGGAAGTGATTCCACGGAATGGCTTTTACTACTGCAGCGACTGTAATAAATGTGTTGTGAACGTGATTCCAAGGTAATATTACTCTTAAAATTCTACCAAGATTTCAGCTTTTAGCCTGCCTACCAATTTTCTAACCATTTGAAAAGCCTTCTTGATAGAGAAGTACATTGATCACACTTTGTGTCATTTTCTGTCATTCATTAATACAAGATCGCAAAACATATAATGTTATATATTTTAGTGTAATTGGAAAAACTACGACCAATGGTATCCTAATAATCATCAAAGAAGTTTGGAGGTGCGGAGTGCACGCTTCATTGAGTTTGTTACGATATAAAACCCGTTACACTGGGGGTTCCAAGGGGGCAGCGCCCCTTTGGCGGGGGTTCGGGGGCAGCGCCCCCGAGCAGGGTTCAAGGGGCGGCAGCCCCTGCGGGGTCCAAGGGGCAGAGACCCTGGCTGGGGTCGAGAATTTTAATTTCGAATTTTCTTTAAAAGAAAATTCGATGGATAGGACCGAATTTTGAAGAAGAAACTTCCGCGCGAAGAGTTGCGTGCTTTGGGTAATAGCCGCGAATGGTGTCTTCTCCTTCTCACCCCTAGTCTATAAAATTCCCCTGGGCATGGTCGAATTTCGTTCGGTTTTAGACACAGCGATTCTCATATTTCGTTCTTGATACTTTCGAGTTTTATCCGATTGAATTTTGGAGTGAACAACCAAAATATTCAATCTGAAAGTGTTTACACAACTCTCGATTCATCCAAGTTATCATTAATTTCCCCAACATATAATAAGGTTAATGACACTTTTTAATCATAGTGTATGATCAACAAACATATAATAACGTTTTGAATTTCGAGATTTAAATGTTTTTTATTAGAGTATGCAAGTTTTTACACTACTTATTTACAAATATATAGTCTGATGTTCCACTTATTATACTGTTTTTTTATAGTCTGATTGATGATGTTTCTCCGGTATGTGAGTATTAAAAAAAACTGATTTTTACTTTTTATCCTGCATATTATGACGTGACTTTCCACATGGATTACATTGTTACAAAGTATTTTAATTTTTCAATTACTAAATGAGTCAGTCTCAACGTTATTTGGTTCAGATACTGTTTTTTCTCACATGTGGGTCAATTACTGTTTATTTTTTCATACAAGAAGATAAGCAGAGAGAGGAATTGATGATAATGTAATCCCACAGTGTCTAGCTTCTTTGAGTTGTATTTTGCAGAAAAATACTAAGTACTTGATTTTAGTTTGGTGTTTGTATAACAATGTCACATTAAAAACTAATCACACTAAGACGTTTTGTGTAAGACAACCAAACATGGTATCTCCAGTGCTTATCTACATAATTTTTGTAAAAATATTTTCACGTTAATGATATTTTCAAGATTTTCATAGAGAATTAAATTTCTCCATAATCTTTCTTGCTTTCCATAGTTGTGGAGACTATTCATGTTTTACTTCTAATATCACGAGTTACCTTATTAAAGAATACATCAAATCTATATATTTATGGCATAGTATCACTTATTATTAATAGAATTCCTATTTAAAAATATTCTTACCAATTATGAACAAAACTACTTATTTTGGACATGTAATGTGAACTTTATATATAAATACACGATATTCGTGGTTATTTTTCATCCAGCCGTAAACTACTTGCTACTCACCCGCTTCAATAGCTACAATGCAAAACCAAAGTAAGGAAAGATTGATATTGGCAAAAGAAGCGAGAACGCGAAGAAAAGAAGTGCTTCAACAAAAAAAACATCGAATAAAGGTATCTATTTAACTAATTATATTTCTTTATTGATTATAAATAATTCATATTTTCAATATGCTTTAGTTATGTGAGGTGCAAATACTCTATGCATCATTATAAAGATTAAGAAAAATGATTTTATAGAAATTTGATGGAAAAAAAATATTATCCTAGCGCATGTGTGTGTATAATTTTGGGAATAACTAAATAGAATAAAATAATTTTCTAAATTTAATTTCTCCATGTCATATTCAATTTGTTTCTATCCTTCATAATGAAGTCCTTTGTTATGGATAGCAAATTTATTATTTCAGTGAATTAGGTTATATATTAAGTTTTAAATAAGAGATGAGATTTTGGCAGAAAAAAATATTGTATGATTTACTTATTACAGAAATAATGTCACATTGATAGTATATCAATAAATGATGGAGAATTCCATAGAATTATTACATATTATAGAATTGTATACATTAATTGTTAATTTTGTTTTCCATATATTTTTCTTTATAAAAAAACATATACTGTTTAAGGATACAATGTTAAAGATGAATGTAATTATTAGTGACTAATATTATAGATTTATTTGGTACATGCATTTATAACAATTTATAATAATGTTGTGTATATAAAAGTGATGAACGCGCATTATATTAAATTTAAGTACACACAACTATCATTGTAACAGCTATATATAACCATATTATAAACTTATTACTTAAACATAGTCGTTTTGTGTGACTCAAGGCTGACAACTTTTTCAAACCCTTTATTGGGAAATAATAACTTTAAAATAGAAAGTTGAAATTTTAAAAATGGAGCATATTTTTTTATTACACTTGATGTTTTGATTTTAATATATACAAAAAATCAGTAGATCGGAGTATTGTTAGATAAACATAACAATAAATCATCATTTATTTTATAAATATTATTATTATTATTATTATTATTATTATGGATATTATTATTATTGTTGTTGTTGTTGTTTTTGTTAATATTATCCAACGTAATTTAGGAACCAAATTTTAATCAAGAGTTTTTTATTCTTTTTATAGACAGATTTTTTGGGGTTTTTTTTGTATTCTACTCCCTTCGTCCACGAGTATTAGTCTAGTTTTTACTTTTTCAGAAGAAATGATAAACTTTATCTCGGAGGTAGTAAAAAATAAAATAAAAATTGATATAAAATAATATTATTGTATTTATTATATCAAGAATTTCCAAAATATTACTTTTTCTTAGCAATATAAAACATATATTTTATTTAATTAGAGGTCAAGTGTTAAAAAAATTGATCGAAAAAAGTCAAAACTTAACAAATACTCAAGGACGAAGGTAATAGTACACATTAATAGGCATTATTTACCAAAGATTTTATTTTCATTAACCTATCATATATAAAACTTAGGAATTATATCCATAAAACATTTGTAAAAGAAGCATTAAAAAGTATTTACTTTTCCATAAAGCAAATATTAGTTCAATATTTTTTTTCTATGCTTGATTACATTCACAGATGGAGAAGCATCGTCGTCGGCTATAGGCTCGCATAATCGAAGCCGTTCAAGAAAGAGTGTACTTAGTGATGTGACAAAAGGTAATTTTTTTTACTATAATTAAGATTTTAATATTTCCAGTACATTTTCCCTAAAAAAAGGATCTATACAGTGTTTCAATCAGGGAATAATTCTACACCCACTTCATCACGCTTTCAAGTGTATAAGAGACAGAAGAGAATTGATCTATCTGCAATAACACGTTCTATTACTTTCGAAGAAGGTAATCATTCAAAAAATTTCTTTGTGTATTAGATAACTATAGGTATATAGTGCTATTAAAAATATATTTAAATATTTACTACCTCCATATCGGGGATCATACACTACATTTATATTTTAAATACACAAAAATGTTGGTGTTGAAGGTTCATCCTCAATATACATCAGCAGAACCGTTTTTAGATAATCTTGCATTTGGAGAAGCTGAAAATAAAGGTATGTTTACATATTACGTACGACATTTAATTTGTGTAAAATGCTAAATCTTTATAAGCAACTTTCTATATCATATTTTATTATTCCTGTGTAGATATAATTGATTTTGGAGATCCCACATTTAAATGTGAATTCTGTGGAGCATTGTTATGGTGTGGAGAAAGAGCTGAAAAAGTAGAGAATCAGAAAATCCCGACTTTTCGATTTGTTGTATGAAAGGAAAAGTTGAACTGCCTCTGCTAAAAAAACCTCCAGATTTGCTCTATAATTTATTTAATGGGAGTGACGTTAGGAGTTCCCATTTTTTGAACAATTTAAGAAAGTACAACAGTATGTTTTCATTCACGTATATGGATGGAAATATTGATACATCTCAAAACAACGGTCGAGCAGCTCCACAATTTACTCTTAGTGGTCATAATCATCATCACATAACATCATTGTTGCCACAAGATGAAGGCCAAGATTTACTCAATTGTATATTTATGATACACAGAACGAGGTATCAAATAGAATGGCTCATTTCAGGTATTTCAAATATTTTATTATGCGCGGCCCTTTAATGCATGTACTCTTTATTTGTGCATGACAAAATATTGTCATGGAAGATAATTATCATAATAACATAATTTTTTTTTCATGCAGTAGGCAGAATAATTCTTCGGCTATTGACATAAGTTTAGTTGAGGATTTGAAGTATATGATAGATGAACATAATGTTTTGGCACAGAGTTTCAGAAGAGCTAGAGATTTCGTGCATAGTGAGCCCACATCTACTTTGTCTATGAGGCTTTTGATAAGTAGATCTAGAGACTCGAGAAATTATAATATCCCCACAGCGGACGAAGTTGCAGCTCTAATAGTTGGAGATTTTGATTCATCTAATGAAGAAAGGGACATCATCGTCGCAAAAAGAAATGGATTCTTGCAGCAAATCAATGAGACACACCCCACGTTCATACCTCTTCAGTACCCTTTGTTGTTTCCCTTTGGGGAAGACGGATATCATGAAAATATCTGTATAAGAGAATCATTTTTCCTGCAAAACAATGTAAAGCATCCAAATGTATCAGCGAGAGAATTTGTTGCATATCGTATACAAGAAAGGGAAAATGATGGTGGCATTTTGTTGCTTGCACGAAGATTGTACTTACAATTTCTGGTAGATGCTTACACGATCGTTGAGGCACAGAGAATCCAGTGGGTAAAGTTAAACCAAGATCAATTAAGGGGAGCAATTATGAGTGGCATACTAGAAGCTGTGATTAGAGGTGATACCCAATCGGCATATGTTGGCCAACGAATTATTCTACCATCTTCATTCACTGGGGGAATGAGATATATGTTTAACAACTGTCAAGATGCTATGGCCATATGTAGAAGACTTGGTTATCCAGATTTGTTCATTACTATGACATGTAATCCCCAGTGGCCAGAGATTGCAAGATATATGACAGTAAGAAAATGTAGAGCTGAAGACAAACCCGATATTGAATCTAGAATTTTTAAAATGAAATTGGATCATTTTGAAAAGGACCTAAAAAGGCCGAATATTTGGTGAAGTGATTGCAGGTAATGCTATAGTTTGGTATCTTATTTCCATTTAAGTAATAAAATTAATATACTTTGAACATTATTATTTTATGTATCGTCATTTGACTAAAATAATTGTGTGCAGGTTTGTACACTGTTGAGTTTCAAAAGAGAGGTCTGCCTAATGCACATATCTTAATTTGGTTACACGAGAGAGATAAACTTCAATCACCAGAGTCAATTGATCGTGTGATATGTCCAGAGTTTCCTGATAAAGAAAAATACCCAAGGTTGTATGAATCTGTAACTCGCTTGATGATGCATAGTCCCTGTGGAGTCAATGATCCTAGATCTCCATGTATGGATGATGGAAAATGCAAATAATATTTCCCAAAAAAATTTGTTGACAAGACATCGTTTAATGAGAATGGGTATCCGGTATATAGAAGAAGAAACATGGGGATCACCACAACAAGAAAGGATGTCGAGTTGGATAATCAATTTGTTGTGCCATACAATCCACTGCTCTTAATGAGGTATCAAGCTCACATCAACATTGAATATTGCAACAAATCTAATTCAATCAAATATCTCTTTAAATATGTCAATAAGGGTCCGGATAGAATAACTGTTGCAGTTACGCAATCTAAATCTGACGATGCTCATAATGAGGTGCGTGATGAGACAGAGAAATACTATGATTGTCGTTACGTCTCTGCATGTGAAGCATCTTGGAGAATCCTGTCTTTTGATATACATCACAGATGGCCAGCAGTATTGAGGTTGAATTTCCATCTCGCAGGACAGAAATTTGTCACTTTTAAGGAGCAACAAAAATTGAAAGATGTTGCCAGACAAAATCTTTACAAGCCTTCAATGTTTGAGGCTTAGATGGTTTCCAATTCAAAGTACAAAGCGGGGGAAAATTTAACGTATGCAGAATTTCCAGGACATTTTGTGTTCAACAACAAGGAGCGAGAATGGCATCCGAGGAAACAAAGACCATCAATAGGCCGCCTACAATATGTGCCTGCAAGAACCGGAGAGTTATACTACTTGAGAATACTATTAACTGTCCAGAAGGGGTGTACAAGTTATGAAAGCTTGAAGATAGTTAACAATGTTCTCTATAACACATTCAAGGAGGTATGCGATGCATTGGGGTTACTTGCTGATGATAAGGAATTTATTGAAGGAATAAAAGAGGCTACTGAGTTAGGTTCTGGGAATCAGCTTAGAAAGTTGTTCGTCACGTTATTAGTGACAAATACCATGAGTCGCCTGCAAATTGTTTGGGAAAAATCATGGCAACGCCTGGTGGATGGAATTTTATTTGATCGAAGGAGCCTATTGCGTAATCAAGGTATTTCAATAAAGAAATAGTTTTAACATGTTAATCCTTACATAATGCATTGTCTTGAAACCTACAATTTTTATTTAGTACTTTGTAGAATTAAATAAGTTCTATTATTTCCAATTCTTTTTTCCGAGCTTATCATTTCTCAAGAAGACCTAAAGAATTTATGTTTGATTGAGATTGAAAAGTTGTTTAATTCAAATGGGCGGTCTTTGAGGGAGTTCAGTTGTATGCCGTTTCCAGATGACAGCCCACTCAATACATTTCAAAACAATTTGTTGGTTGAGGAGTTGGACTATGATAAAGAAAAGTTGTCATCTGATCTTACGGGATACTTATCTACGATGAATGAAGATCAACGGAAGATATACGATGAAATAATGGAAGTTGTGGCAGCTAGAAAAGGAGGATTCGTTTTTGTGTATGGTTGCGGTGGAACTGGAAAAACATTTCTTTGGAAATCATTGTCTGCTTCTTTAAGATCAAGTGGTAAAGTTGTCTTGAATGTCACATCCAGTGCGATTGCAGCATTGCTTTTGCCTGGGGGAAGGACAACACACTCCAGATTTTCAATTCCTTTGGCACTAACAGAGTGCTCAACGTGTGCCATCAAACAAGGGAGCCCAAAAGCAGAACTAATTCAACAGGCAAGTTTAATCATATGGGATGAAGCATGTATGATGAATGGATTTGCTTTTGAGGCATTGGATCGCACGATAAGAGATCTAATGAAGTTTGCTAATCCAAACTCAATAAATGAACCATTTGGAGGGAAAACGGTTGTACTCGGAGGTGATTTTAGACAAATTCTTCCTGTTTTACCCAGAGCTTCGAGAGAGGAAATTGTAGGTGCTACCATTAATTCTTCAAATTTGTGGTCTTATTGTAGAGTTTTTAAGTTGACGAAGAATATGAGATTGCATTCATCAACGTCCTCTTGCGTAGATAAAGACACACAAGACTTTTCTGATTGGATAATCAAAGTTGGAGATGGAAAGCTTGGACAAGTGATTGATGGAACTGCTGACGTTGAAATTCCTCACGAATTTTTGATTCTAGATAACAGTTCTCCCATCAAAAGTATAGTGGACTTTACTTATCCGAACTTATTGGAGAATATAAGAAGTTATTCTTTTTTTGAAGACAGGGCACTACTAGCACCCACACTCGAAGTTGTAGAGATGGTAAATGAATTTGTCTTATCCCTCATTCCCGGAGATGAAATGGTGTACTTGAGTTCTGATTTGTCATGCCAAGCAGATTCAGATGTAGGTATTGATGGCGACTGGATAACAATTGAGTTTTTGAATGATATCAAATGTTCGGGAATCCCAAACCACAAGATAGTTTTTAAAAAAGGGGTGCCAATTATGTTACTGAGGAACATTGACCAGACATCTGGATTGTGTGGTACAAGATTAATTGTTGACGAGATGCGAAAGAATGTTATTGGTGCTATTGTGGTTTCGGGAAATCGAGTGGGTGAAAAAGTTTACATACCCCGGATGAATTTGGTACCGTCTGATCCAGGACTACCTCTGAAGTTCCAGAGAAGACAATTTCCAATAGTCTTATGTTTTGGTATGACTATTAACAAAAGTCAAGGTCAAACATTGTCATTTGTTGGATTATTTTTAACCAAGTCAGTGTTCACTCATGGTCAGCTTTATGTTGCTGTTTCGCGAGTGAAGACAAAGACAGGATTAAAAATATTAGTCTTAGATGACAATGGAAATCCTTGCAGTCATACAAAAAATGTTGTATACCCTCAAGTCTTTCAAAAAATTTGGTATTAAAACAAAATTTGTTGGGTGTAGATTCAATTCCTTAAATATTATTTTTTTTACTTTGCCTTTCTTTTATGTGTTATTATAAATCATGCATGAAGTATATTTCCTTTATTGCGGAAAAAAAATATTACATTGAAAAAATTCATAATCGACAAGATATTCGTTCGAACCCGTGCATTGCACGGGTAGGAATACTAGTAATAATAATAATAGCCAATAACAAATAGCGGCCTAGCGTCGAGTCTAAACACTATAGTTTACCGTCATGCATCATATAAGGTTGTTGGATTTGTTAAAACATCATATTTATTTCTAGAAATCATTTTCATATTCATCATATTTGTTTGATATCAAGATTGTGACTTCATATAGTCGATTAATATAGGGTTGGAAAATCGATTAATTGTTACTGACTTCATATCCTTTAGCGGGACAAAATGTTAATCGATTAATAGAAGATGGAAAAATCAATTAATTGATACCGATTTCAAATGCTTCAGCGGAACAATCAATTAATAGATCAATGAACAAGCGGAACAATCAATTAATAGATTAATCAACATAAATTAATCTATTAATCATCATGAATTAATCAATTAATCAACATGAATTAATTAATTCATCAACATGAATTAATCAATTAATCGATTAATCAACATGAGTTAATCGATCATCGTCTTCTTCCTCGGTCCATTTTCGAAAATATCATTTTTAGTCACCAAACTTCAATTAAATTAGATAGAAATGTTCTCCAATGTTCATAGATTATGTTGGTATCATTAATTCATAGTTTTAACATCAATTTCAAGGTTTATGATTCATGGTTCTTCAGGCATGTCAAACAAAAAACTCAACCAAACAACTGTTTATGAACGTAGAAATGATTTATATGAACATTCTAGTCAATAGATATATCTACGGGCTTACCTCGAACTTAAACGGAGGGTTTGGAAATTTTCCAGCAAAACTCCCAGTGAGAATTGTGGCTCGCTCTGGCGACTTCACACCAAATTGACAGCAGCATTGCACCCTCCACACTCAGAGGAACATAATAGGAAGAAAAATTGTGAAGAATGGTGAAGGAATCAGGAATTTAGCTCTCCTTATATAGGAAAGATGAATAAAAAGAAGACACTTGCTGAGTTGATGCTGCGTAGGATTTCAAATTCACGATCTTCGTTCGGCGATAGTAAGACTTAAGGAGATTCAGCACGTTACTTCCTGATTAGGCTAATTTGGTCTCACTCACGGTACACCTTTCTGTCAAACTTTCTCCGAATTGAATTCCGTTTGCACTGTTGCGATCAGACAGTCGAATTCTATTCAGCGATATACTTTTATATTGGTTTGCAATACTTTTTCTAACATCATATTTTTGGGTGTTTGACTTTGACAGAGTCAAAATTGATTTTATTGACCTTTATCATAAAGCGTTCTCACATTCAATTTATATTACTTATTCTCATTTCAACGTTTACATCATAAACAAATTATTCATTTATTCTTAATCTGGATTTGTACCCAAGTTCCCAATCAAGGTCACACAATAAGTCAACATATTGGATTTATGTCTATGAGATTTATCGAGATTGTGATATTGGATATTCAAACATATTTCATTTTGGCCCAAAGTCTAACAATAATGTATTTTAATCAAAACAAATTTGATTAATCGAATAAGTATTCATTAATAATTATAGGGTATTTTTTGGGGCGTTACATTTCTTCCCCCCTTAAAGGAATTTTATCCTCGAACTTCATCTAAGGCTCCACGATCAAAATCTTTTTATATTCTCGTTTAATCATGACTGCGTCATGTTCATTCAGTTAAATTATGATTACGTCGTTATCCCTACAAATATGTATTCTCAAACCGTTGATGTCATCAAACTCGTTCTATCTTTGAGAGATTAACAAAGGTATCAAACAAGTGAAATTTGCACTAAATAGGACTAAAACGTAATGACTTTCCTAATGTAGGACTTAAACTTTTTTATTCCCTAAATAAGACTTAATAATGACCTTGTGGAAGGAATAATGTCTAGTAATGATGGACATTTAGTTGAATAATGACTACTTGATAATGACCAAAGATCCTACATTGGGAAATAAAAACATATGGTCCTATATTCGGAAAGTCATTATGTTTTATTCCTATTTTGGTAAATTTCTCATCAAACAATCCTTTTTGCAGGTTCCCGTTTAAAAGTCAACATCAATAACTAAAGTTCCTTCGTAGAGTATAACATCGTATTTGTGTTTGCACCTGACTTCGTTCATTCATAAATCTTGGTTGTACGTCATTGGTCAATAATATTCTATCTTTGGTTGAAAGATTTTCAATAGCCTTTGCAGTTTCGAATTATCAAGTATAGTTGGGGATCTCATGGGTAGTGGACTGTCGCAAAGGAAAATCTAAGGGATTGATTTTCCCAGTTTAAAAGAAAAACAAAGTTTGGTTCACATGATCTCATGGGTAGATGAAAGTTGTCTTTGTAAGAGATATACTCGTAGCCACATGTCGGATTCCAGATGAACGAACATGGAAAGGTTCAGGTAGCCAGTCAGAGGTGTCTATGGTAGTGGGAGCTGGATTGTGCTTCAGTCAAGGATTCTAGAAGATAATGAGTTAGGAGAACCAGTATTCCAGCTGTTGAAACATCTTAAGAATATTTTTTGCTAAGTATGGAGAGTGTTTATTTTCAAGGAGTTCCAAGACCCAGCATTTTGTGTGTGCAATGGGAGTTGGTGAAGACCAAGAATGATTCAAGGGTAGATTCCGTCGTAACTGAAGTGTTGGATCTCTAGGGGAGCTTCAACATGGCTTTCAAGTGACTGATGAGAGGCTAGTGCAACCATGAGAGTTGAGGAAACTTACTAGACGTACAAGTGTTCTAGATGGATGGTAGTTGAAGATTATCAAAAGTCTCCAAGTCGGAGATTGTTAGGTTTTTTGGAGGTTTAATTTGCGTCGGGCTCGTTCTTTTAGAAGATTAAACTATGGCAGTGGATTGAGGGACTAGTTAGCGTAATTTTTATTTAAGCTCATTTATACTTTCTTAGGGAACAAGATTGTAACCCTATGCTCTTCCCATAAATATATGGCTTGTTCATGTAATCTTTGGTGAGACAGCATAAGTGAAATAAAATTTCTCCGTATATTAGGGAAACCAAACCCCATGTAAAATTATTGTGGGCCGTTCTTGTTCTATTTAATTCATTTCTTTTATTTCTCGTAGATTATTTGTGTAGGTTGTGTGTTTAATTCCCAATACTAAGGAAGTCATCCAAAGAACACAAAGAGCTGATGATGGAGAAGACACCAGCAACTCTGAGGGAAAAGCATGATGTAAGGCAAAAACCTCGGAGATGATTTGTCTACACAAAGAAATAACTAGAAGCATGATGCTTAGGTGAGAGATGTTGTGTAAACCTTGTCCTTACCAACAAAAAAAGAAGCAAGAGCCTATTTTGTAAATTGCAAGAACGCACCACCGTTATCTCTATCGGGATGCTATGATCATCTACTATGTAATCAATAATGATGTTCTTTCCCACCAGTCTTATGTGTTTGAGGATTGATGATGGTAAAGTTCGAATGGCTAGTTCCAAATTTGGTTTTTGTGTGTTTCTTCCTCGTCATTTGAATGTTGTTGCTCATAAATTAGCTAGATGTGCGGAGGATCATTTTAGATCTTGGGATATGCTGCTATCCCTCTTGATTTTATTTTTTACAGTTTAATTGTCTAAATATTTTCTCCGTTCAAAATGGATATCCTTGTTACTATTACGGTCTCTTGATAACTATTTTTTGTTTGTATGTTTTCATTGATTATTTGATAAAATAAAATATTCTGGTCATTTTTTGTTTTGTACAACTTTTTACGGAGTATGTACTTTTGAACAGTGTAATTTATACTTTTATTTATATACCAATTGTTTGTAATTAAAATGATTTTAAAAGTGATGAGATTCTGCACATTCCCTTAAAAAAGAATTTACAAACTCCTTCCATCCCTTACCATTCTTTCCTTGTTTAATAGTTATTAAACACTGGGACATAAATACTACATTTGTCTCAATATATTTGTTCAGTTTTACATTTTCAAGTCAAGCTTAATGAACTTTGGACTTCAATAAAATAAAATTATAATATATATTAGTATAAAAATGATTTTATTATGAAATTTATCTTGTTGAGAGGGTAATTTTCAAAATGTCATTTTGTTGTATTAATACATTGAAAAAGTTATGTTGTCATATTAAACTTATTGGATTAAAGTTTGTGTATTTTGGATCAAAAAAGTCCAACTCGATGAATACACTAGGACAAAGCACTTGTTTTCTTCATTTGAATTGATTGTATTTATATATAAAGTTAAGTGTGATCTCATCTTAATCTAGTAAAATAAATAAT